GCCCCTGCGGCGATGCTCTTGGTCCTAGTGGGGGTGGGGGTCCGTGGTGGGGGCGGGGGCTGCCGAGCCGACGGCTGTGCTCTCTCCGCAGGCCGGGCCAGCCTGCACGACAAAGCATCCCTGCGCATTGAGCAGGTGCGCTCCGAGGACCAGGGCTGGTACGAGTGCAAAGTGCTCATGCTGGACCAGCAGTACGACTCGGCAGCTGGGTCCACCTCACGGTCAATGGTGAGCCGGGGGGCTGCGTGCGGTGCCGAGACGGGCTTCCCTTTGATTCCTGACCGACGCCGGAGCTCAGCGTCCGTGCCTTGCAGGCGAGCGAGCCCGAAGCCATCCAGGCTGACTGCTCCAGCCGGGGTGCACTTCAAAAGGGGCCGGCTTTTATTGGGGATACGCGGTTTAATTACACGGAGCTCGTTTAAAGGAGACACATCAAGACACGGGGCTGGGAACGAGTCTGCTCTTACCGAACGGATCAGAAAGATCTTTGTTTTCTTGAAATTCAGATTTACTCAAATCACTTTTTTCGTTTTATTAAGGCTGCGTATTAAACTAATTAGCACATTCTCAGTCTCCACATCAGGAGCGGTCTGGATTTTTAGCCCAGCACCGGGGCTGTCCCTCTCAGGCTGGAGAGGGGCCGTGGGTCACCAGCAGCTCCTCACTGGTCTTGCCTGACCTTGAGCAATTAATTGAACCTTTCGTGGGGCAAGGGGACGACAGCTGGGCTGCGGCACGGAGCAGAGCCACCTAATTGAGCCCAATTAACGAGCGGGAGCTTTGCAAGCGGGGCTGTGCAGCACACCAGCCCTGTCCCTGCCTCCGTTCCCCCTGCCTGCTAATGAGCTCGGAGGGCTTGGGAAGGAGGGCGAGAGGAGGAGGATGGTGCCTGCTTCATCTCCGCCACGTGCACGGATCCTGCGATCCGAGGGGCTGGAAGAGGCCATCGGTGCCCCAGGTGCCTTGTGCTGCCCTGGGCTCAACTCCCTTTGCAAAACAGGGGTTTTTGGGGGGTTTTATGCAGCATGAGGCATGCAGGGCCTTAATAACGAAATAATAACCGTAATCCTCCTGGCCTGAGGAACTGCTTTCAGGGGGAAGGCTATGGCTTTCCCCCAGCATGTTACAACGCTTAATTTTCTTAAGGGAAAATAAAAATCATTTTGGGAGAAACAAAATATATGGTTTTTTTTTTTCTTCCCGGGCAGATTAAATTGCTAACCTGTCTTCCTCGAAAGTGGGCTCATAACAACCGCTGGTAATTAGGGGCGGGCTGTAATCCTGCCAGCCTCTTTAATCAGGAAGGAGCCTTTCGATCTGCACTGCGGTGTTTTCCCGTGTTTTGACAATAGCGAGTTAATGTGCAATGAGGGGGGACATGGTGCCGTGCCCTGGAGTTGGCGGAGGGGAGAGGGGGCAGG